TATATATATATATGTAAGACTTAGTGGGTGAGTGTATTTTTTAAAAAATTAAGAAATCAGTGTTTTGACACAAATTATTTTGAAAAGACTGAATTGCAAAAGATATCTATGTGTTTGTGTATCCTATACTTTCTTCTGTACTATGCCTGAAAGGAAAGGATATCATGACCCAAGTCCACAGGATATACTATTTAAGGTTTCTTAGGGAAAAATATTTTTTATCAGATAGATGTTATACCTCAGAAATTACTGCAACATTAGATTTGAAATCACAGCAGTATACCAGATAAAAATATTTGAAGATTAAAGAAATTTCTTTTAAAATATTTTAATAAGAGTATTTTGATTGTGGAAGCACATATTGCTTCAGTACAGTTGTTGTTGTACACCCTAAAAGATGACCCATGTAACTGAAGAACAATTCATTGTCAGTTTCAAGATCAGTCTTGGTCTTTGTCAAATATTTCTTGGTTATATTAAAAACTCATTTCCCAAATAAATTTAGGAATTAGGGCAATGTGTTTAATATATTTGGATTTGTTAACTGAGACATATTAAATGTGTTAAAGGTCTTGTGCAAGAGGAGCTCTTGCTCTTCTTTTCCTTCTTGGCACCACCTGGATCTTTGGGGTTCTCCATGTTGTTCATGCGTCTGTGGTGACAGCCTACCTCTTCACAGTCAGCAATGCTTTCCAAGGAATGTTCATTTTCTTATTCCTGTGTGTTCTATCAAGAAAGGTAAGCCATGTTTATTTTCATCAGTGCTATGGTGATGTGGGTTAATGAGCTGGACTGGAAGGTCAGTTTGAAGCCCAAGGTTAGTGGTTCAAGCGCACCAGCATCTCTTGGAAACTTTATACAGGGTCGCAATGAGTCAGAACCCATCGACGGCACTGAACTACAATAACAATATATACGAATTCCTGCTGTAGCACTGTAGTAACAACAGTGGACTGCGAACCACAAGGTCAGCAGTTCAAACCCACCAGTTGCTCCTCGAAAAACCTACACAGGGTTAATATGAGTTGGAACCGACTCAAGACGCTTAGCAACAACAGCAACAATGCTATATACAAATCTGTGTTGGAAGAAGTACAGCCAGACTGCTCCATGTAAGCCAGGATGGTGAGACTTCAGCTCATGTACATTCAACATGTCATAAGGAGTGCCCAGTCTCTGGAAAAGAACTACATGCTCGGTTAAATAGAGGGTCAGCGAAAAAGAGGAAAACTTTCAAGGACATGGATTGACGCAATGGGTGTAACAATGTGCTCAAACAGGAAAGCTTGTGAGGTTGACACAGGACTGGGTTGTGGTTCATCCTGTTATACCTGTTGTTGTTGTCGTCGGGTGCCATCGAGTCAGAACCAACTCATAGCGACCCCATGCACAGCAGAACAAAACAATGTCCAATCCTGGGCCAACCTCACTACTGCTGCCACACTTGATGCCATCAATGACGCCACCTGGCTGATCCATCTCGGTGGAATCTTCCTCACTTTCTCTGACCCTCCATCTTACCCAGCATGACATCCTTCTCTAGCGACTGTGCCCTCCTGACAATATGTTATACCTAGAGTCCTTATAAGTCAGAACTGACTCAATAGTACTTAACAGCAACAAAATAGTATATTCAGACAGTGTCTGTTATCAAAGTGACAGTAATCAAAGTGAAATTTCCATTATCATAGGTTTATGATTTATTCCTTTATTGTCTTTATTCAGAGCTCCTAGCTGCTCATAAAGAGTTGTGCTTTTAAAACTTGCTATACAGGGTCGCTATGAGTTGGAATTGACTCAATGACTCTAACAACAACATAATTAAGTAAATATAATTTAATTTAGTTCCTACAGGATAATGATAGTAGGAGTAATATTTTCAAAGACAAGATATAATCATTCAATGATACTTGAAAATAATTCAATTTAATTGTGTTTAATATTTTTTTTCTTTTATTTCAGATTCAAGAAGAATATTATAGATTGTTCAAAAATGTCCCTTGTTGTTTTGGATGTTTAAGATAAGCATAGAGAAGTATGCATAATTATAGCTGCACAAAAATAGAACCCCCAGCTGTGGATGATCAATCAATAATTATGACTTGAACAAAGTGTCAAATTATTAATTACCTGATAATCAGATACTTTAATTTTGTTTTTCTGATTATAGAAGTGTAAATAATAAGACTTTAAATTATATAACATATGGCTACAGTATGCTTTCCTACACAGCATAGTTAGTTATGTCAGAAACAGTGTTGCAGATATTTGGAACATAATTGGTTTCTTAGGAGTGATATCATTGTGCCCAAGGAAAGATTTTATTTCTAACACGTGAAATATATGAATGTCCTGAAGGAAACCACTGGCTTGATATTTTTGTGACTCATGTTGCCTTTGAAACTAGTCCCCATCCACCTTGGTAATGAGTTTCGTTACAGAAAGTGGAACATAAGAGAATGAAAGGACAGAATATAAAACAGTAAGAAGGGAATGGCTGTTAAAACAATGAGATGTATTTTGAGTAAACTTTCTTTCTTTTATGTTATTTTATTTTATTTTTTTGTAAATGAGATGAGAAATTATGGAGACAAAATAAAGAATTGAATAAACACGTCTTAAGCAGCAAAGACTAGACCCCTATTTTCTATATCTATTTTTAAAAAATATTCTTAAAGAAAGTTCACCAAATGAAAAAGAAACATTTCTGATTTAAAGCTAACATTAGAATGAAGTACATGTTTTTTATACTATTTCATAGAATGTGACTATAATTCAATAAAACAAATGTGTCAAGATATAATATTATTCATGCTTCTAAATGTAAAACTAATGTATATGAGGCTGAAATAGTCTATTTCATAACCTTTAAGTATAGTGAAATGTTTCCATCTTATTAGACTAGAATATTTGAGTTATTTTATTTTTAATTTAAAAAATTATAGTTCATATTGCAATATTCTCTACTAATTTACTATTTTAAAAGGTCATTGTAAATATGAAAGTTTTCATAAATTGAATTGTTATTTTTTTCTGTTCATACAAGTACACTTTCACAAATGTTTTTTGTGAAATCACTGACAATTATATAATTTTTTACAGTGGATCTAATATGTGACAGTTTTCTACTATCTGTTGAAACATATCTGCTGATATGTACAGCCTCTATCAATCCTATTTTGTTTAATTAAAAACTGTATAAGTAATGGTTTTATTTCAAAAATATGTAATTGTTCCACACCTACCTGTAAAAACTTGTCTATACTCTGTTGTCATTTTAAATAAATTTCTCTAGCTGTTAAGATGGCATTGCTGTGGCTCCCTTAGATAAGCATGGGATTGCTAACCACAAGGTCAGTGGTTTGAACTCACCAGCTGCTCATCAGGAGAAATATGAAGCTTTTTGCTCCTACAAAGCTTTATAGCTTCAGAAAACCCACACAGGGTTGTTAGAGTCAGAGTTGACTTAAGGCACTTAACAACAACAACAACAATTTTATAATGGAATCTGTCAAAATTTGCTCTGACAAATAAAATGCTGTCTAAATGAAGCAATCCTGCAATTGCTTAGCTGAGACTTTTTCTCAAGAACGATGAGCTACCTGTATGTTTCATACATTTTTAGAGCATCCATGAAGTGATAATACCTTTTCATTGTATCTTTCATATGGTAAACCTACTATAATCATTGTCATAGTACAGTGTTATGGCAATGTATTAAAGAAAAATTAATCAACCTGTTCTAATCAATGGATATGAAACTGTGTATAGTTAGCATAATGTTATTGCTAAGTGGCATCAAGTTGGTTCCTACTCATAGAGACCCATTGGGTTTCTGAGGAGAAGCTGGTGAGTTTGACCTGAAAACCTTGCAGTTCAAACTGACCTTTCAGCCCAGTGCATCACCCTGTGGTGCTATACCAGGACTCCAGTTAGCATTATAATAGACCCCTAAAAATCTACAGTACCTGTGAGCATGTTATATGACATGGGGCTGAAGTTGCTAATTGGTTAACCTAGATGTGGGAAGATTAACCTAGATTATCCACAAGAATCCTTAAAAGTAAAGAGGGAGACATATAAGGAGAGTATCAGAGTGATTTAAGTGTAAAACCAAGTTAGCCATTTCTGACTTTGAAAGATGAAGATCATGAACCAAGGAATGCATGTGGCCTCAGGAAGCTGGATAAAGCCAATAAACAGTTGTTTTTTCTCTGAAGCTTCTACAAGGAACTTGGCCTAGGCAACACCTTCATTTTAGCCTCAGGATACCCATTTTGGACTTCTGACTCCATAACTGTAAAATAATAAACTTACATTCTGTTAAACCACAAAGTTTATTGTAATTTTGATACAACAGTTAGAGAAATCTAATGCTTTAGAAATAATTATGTAATAATCTTTAGAGGCAAGCTACTTTTCATATCATTAGGGCACACTTTAATTACAGTGTCTTTTTTTTTGCCAACCCTCCCATTGATATCATCATATACATATATTGCTGTTGTTAAGTGTTGCTAAGTTGGTTCTGACTCATAGCTACACTGTGTAGTAGGATTTATGAGGAGCGGCTAGTGAGTTTGAACCACCAACCTTGCTGTTCAACCCAAACTTGAGGTTGAGTGCTTCTCCTATGGCACCACACCCAGACTCTATGTATGTATATAAAGCATATATTATTTAGTATTGCATTTAAAGCCTTTAATATCTGCCATCTACTTATTTCTGCAGTTTTCACTTTCTCTTATGTAAGTGTATTCAGTCATAAAAAATTATTACCTTGATAAACTCACCATAGGTTTCCAAATTCCCAATTTGAAAAAGGCCCTCTGCCATCATCACGATATAAAAATATATTGTTGGTACCCTTGAGTTGGCACCAACTCACTGTAACCCATTGCACAACAGAATGAAACAATCTCTGGTCCTGTACCATTCTCACAATCATTTAGCTTGAGCCCATTAATGCTGTCACTATGTCAATCCATATCATGGGGAGTCTTCCTCTATTCCACTGATCCTACACATTACCAAGAATGATGTCTTTCTCCAGGAATTGTTTCCTCTGGCCTATATGTCCAAGGTATGAGAGACAAAGTCTCACCATTGTGGCCTACAAGTAACATTCTAGCTGTACTTAGTCAAACACAGATTTGTGTATTCTTCTGGCATCTGTGGCACAATGACTCTGTATTCCTTCCATCTCTTTTTTGATGCTTTCTGCATCATTCAATAGTTTGCCCATCGAGTCTTTCAGTATCGCAAGTTGAGCCTTGAATTTTTTCATCAATTCTTCCAGTTTGAGAGATGCTGAATGTATTCTTTCCTTTTGGTTTTCTCATTACAGGTCTTTCTATATTTCATTCTTATACTTGATTTTGTCTTCTTGAGCTGCCCTTTGAAACTTTCTGTCCAGTTCTTTTACTTCCTTATTTATTCCATTTTCTTTAGCAGGTGTATGCTGGAGAGCAAGTTTGAGATTCTTCTCTATGTTCCATTTTGGTCTTTTACTTCTTTCTTGTCTTTTTAATGACCTTTTGCTGTCTTCCTATATGATGTTATTAATGTCATCCCACAACATTTACTTGTTCCTAATGTATCCTTTTTCTGTGAAGCCTTACCTAGATCACAAAATTAATCACTTCCACCCGTGTGTATCATCTGTTTTTAATTGTATGGTTCCTCTTGAAATGACTGAATTTCAAAACTTTTTTGGTATGTTTTTGCTGTTGTTGGGGTGCAGACTGATAGCATCCCTGTATAGTTTTTTTGTTTGTTTCTTTTTTTTTAGGGAGATTGAGGTTTTCTTTATTTGATTTTGCAAAATCAGGTTCCCAACCCAGTAGACACAGGAAGACACCCCTATACAGTGTTTTCCAAAGGAAACTTAGTGAGTTTGAACTACCTTGTGGTTCAAACCAATCTTGCAGTCCAGTGTTTATCTTATAGCCCCTCCTTCCATCTTTTGATGCTTCCTGTGCCCTTCAGTATTTATCCCATAGAATCCTTCATATTGAAACATGAGGCTTGAATTTTCTCATTAGTTCTTTCAGCTTAAGAAATGACAAGCATGTTTTTTCCTTTGGTTTTCAGACTCCAGGTCTTCTCACATTCCATTACTATTGCACCTTTATAAGCAGTTCTTTGAAATTTTGTGTTCAGTTATTAATTTCATCATTTTTTCTATTTATTTCAGCCACTGTAATTTGATGAACAAGTTTCATTTTGGCCTATTCTTTCTTTTATGTTTCTTTAATGACCTTTGCTGTCTTTATGCATGATGCCTTTGATGTCATCTCATAACTACTTGGTATTCTGTCATTAGTGTTCAGTGCCTCAAATCTGTTCTTGAATCTTTCTCAATTCATCTGGGATATACTGAAGGTCATACATTGATTCTGGTTGACTTTTTTTCAGTTTTTTAACCTCAATTTGAACATGAACAGTCAATTGCCTTGTCTGTCATAAATATAATGAAGTCATTGGTGAAAAACAAGGGTCTAGGAATTTATGGATTACCAAAAGAATGTTCTAGAAAATAGATGCAACACTGCAAGTGCTCACTCATCTAATCCAACAAATTCAAAACACAGTTACCTTGTCAATTGATTACAAGAGATACATATTTATATCCATTCCAAAGTAAAGTGATCCAATAGGCTAAGAAAATTATTGAACAGTATCATTAATATCACTGACAAGTAGAATTTTTCTGAGTATAACTCATAAAATTGTTATAGCAGTATATTAACAGGAATTTCCAGAAATTCAAGCTGGATTCAAAAAAGGATGTGAATGAGATATATCATTGCTGATCGTCAGATGGATCTTGTCTGTTATACATAGGTAGAGAATACCATAATGATGTTTACCTGTGTTTTATCGACTACACACAGGGATTCAATTGTGGGGATCATAACCAATAGGGATAGCATTGGTTTGAAGGGGAATTCCAGAATCCTTAACTGTGCTCACTTAAGAACCTGTACATAGATAAAGAAGCAGTCGTTTGAACAGAACAAGGG